AGTTAAACCACGACAGTCCTTTTTATATTACCGAATAACGTAGCGCCTCAGTTCACTAGAGGGTCTTGGCCTTGTGTTTCTCACATCCTGATTTGTTCCCAGCATTGCTTTTGCAGTCTATTTCCCCTCTCAAAATTAAGCCTGGGTGATATTTGTGGAACATTATCTTCAGAGACTACCTTCTGGATAGTCTCTGATGAAGTAAACCTTCCTCACCACCCCAGTAGGCCCACGGTGCTCATGCAGCCTTCACCTTATGCTCTAAGAACAACCACTGTAGCACCCTCCCCCACAAACCCCACCATGTTGTCGGGTGACTGAACAGGAAGAAAAAGAAAATTGAAAAAAGTGAGATGATTTAGGGCCACAGAGCACCCCAGAGGTCACAGAGGAGCCCCAGCCAAACGCTATGCAGGGTGGTCAGCCTGAACAACTTGAGTATGACCCAGCCCATTGCACTGTGGGTCCAGGGGTCATTCCCTGGGGTTGTAGCCATGTACTGGTGAAATGTTGCTCACAGACCAAGGAGCTACTTGGCCTTGGGAAGGTTGGGTGTGTGTTTGTGGATGCATCTGCAGAACTGTGTTCTGAATTTGTGGATTTCTAGAGGATACTAGTGGGTGGTTCAAAAACATAGTAAGATATTATTATACATATATAATTTGATTCTTTTAGTCGGAAATAAGCCCCCAGTAAATTTATATTTACTTGGCAGCAAAGATATAAAACTTGGTTTGGCAGTTGCATTTAGCAAAACAGTGGGAACTCGAGGGAAAATATATCGCCTGGCTGTGTATGTTGAACTAATGCTGAGAAATGGGGCTCTGTGAATCTGAATTCAACCCAGTTTTTCAGACCTGCTTCGCCCATCTCCTTCCACTGTTGGCCAACTGACAGAAATTCAATATTTTTCTTTTAGTGAATGAAAAGCATAGTCAGAAACAGCCATTGGGTCAGGATCATATGCAAAAGCTCCTCTTGTGCTTTTGTTTCCTAATTGCTCTTGGAAAGATTTTTCAGACTGGGCTGACGCAGTTGTGTGTGTGAATTTCCTGGCAAATAAGGAAGGTGACTGTGTCCAAAAGACATTTAAGAGTGTGAATTCACAGCCTTTCCATGTCTAATCAAGGAGCGTAAACCATTAGCCACATGTTCTCCATTTCCATCACATTTTTTCACACTTAAACAAAAACATGCCAAAGAAAAGGTGCTACATTTTTAATGCCCCCAAATAGGAACCACGGGAGTCTGTTAAATGCTGTGGTCATTTCCAGCATACAAATCAATTTTCCTTGTGGTGGTGAAGTGGTGAATAATGCCTGGTTTGTTTAAAGGAGCATGACTGATTTTGGATGAAGGATCCTGTCACATTGGCATTTTTAGTTTTATTTATTGCACGCAACCGTATAAAACCTGGTACTGGCCTCAGTGCCAGGCTTACTAGTGGAAAAGCTGAAAGGACCACATAACTCCTGGTGCAGCAAAGAGGTTCTGCTTCTGCAAAGCATTTGCTGGACTCCTGAAAAATTATTTTGAATAACATGGCAGAGAAGGATTTCATCACTTGGCATCTACTGGCTTTATTTTTTCTTCCATTTTGCCTGTGTCAAGATGAATACATGGAGGTGAGCAGAAGATCTTATAAACCAGTGGCCAAAGTATTGCAAAGTCACCACCAGACTGGCCATAAAGGTTCCAGAAGCAGGGAAATATTGAAACAGCGGAGTCAACTTATAGAGTGGACTGTTGATAATAGCACTTCTACAGACCAAAAGGTCCTGAGACCAGAGGTAGATGATGTAGAACTGACTACCTCAGATAGAGTCCAGGTACTCTGAATTAATCTTCTAAAGATATCTTTAAAGCTAATGAGATATTTTATTTTTTTGCTAAGATTATTAGTGTTATATTTATGAAATATTTCTTATTAAAGCTGTGTATTGGTCTGTATCCTGCTGGGTTGCTTGTAGGATCCTTTAATGAGCTGGTAGAACCAGAAGTGGTTGGGGACACTGGTTTCAACATACACAGCAGCCCTTTGTTTTGTTGAAATTGTGATCCTGTTCAACCATATATTCTGATATAGAGTCTCTTAATTATTTCAAGGTATTACTTATTTAATATATTAAAGTTATAGATTTTGTTAACTCATTTGGATGTGAAGGAAAATTACAGAATTTATAGAGGTATTTGAAAAGTTTCAATTAGCAGAGAATAACTTTATTTGAAAATTATGTATATAAAGTATATTCTTTCGAGCTTGAGACAAACATAATGAAATTCTGAGTGTGCAAAAATTTATTCTAAGGAATATCTTGAAAAAACAGATACTAATGTAATGAGTAGATTTAATACTACATATTAACTTGATAGTTTTGAGGAGAAAAGACTCGGAATGTAACTCAATCATCTGTAGTATCTGTGTTTTAAACTGGTAATCTTTTTATACCTTTTACATGGAATTTTAGATGTTATAGTCATTAGGTCACAGCAAAGGGAAAATGGCATAATTTGATTATACATAAAATACTGAAGTTCAAATTTTAAAGCAAAAAACTGAAAGGCAGAAGATGAAGCTTTTGCTAGCAGTAGGCAAAAAAAATTCCACTCAAAAGAAGCTTTTGTTGATTGACATTTTTTAGAAATAAGAACATGAATGTTTTGTTTCTACTGCTCCTACAAATGTTTGAGTCCTGTGTAGTTCACCTTTTATAATTTGTTTTTTTCAAAACTCCTTCTGATCAAACTGATATTTTGAATTAAAAAGATCATGCACAAGCAGACAAGTGCTGAATAATAACCTACTTTGTGATAAGCAGAGAGGAGATTTGATTTTAATCCTATCCTAGGCTTGAAGAACTGAAACACATCCAAGTATGGGAATAGGTTTAGTACACCACTGTATTAACTGTATTTAAATTTTTTAGTGCTTTACATTTCATATTTCTTGTGCAGTTCCTCCAGTGCACTCAGCAAAATATTTGACTGCAGGCATGTTGAGTTGCACATGCAGCATATAAACAGTGAGAACCGTCAGGTACATAGCCCAGTGAGCCACGTAGTGTGTGTGTACCTCTTTACTGCAGAGAGAATTGTGCAGCTGCATACTACAGACCATGTATTATTGGTACTTAAAGAAGATTCCCCTTTAACTCAACATAATTTCAGATAATGCAGGATTTAATAGGAAATGCCAGCTTTTTTAGGCATCAAACTCTCCCTCACTGAAAGTGTCACTATTTGGGGTGCATGTGTCTCTCATCAGAGAGTTTAATGCAACATGTTTGGAGTTTCCTGCTTGGGGAAGAGGCTGTGACATTAAAACTGAGCCCAGAGACTCTAAATACAGCTGAGGGCAGTCATTTACCTACCAGGCCCTCTCTGAGAAGTAATCTTTGCTGGGGAAATGATGCAATTTTTGGCTTATTGAAATTATATGGAGCACTGGCAGATGCATGACAGGGATAATCCATCACAGAGTGGCTGATGCAATAGGTATTTTCCATCGCTATTCTCCAAGGATTTCCAGGCAGAGGAGGAACAAAAGTGGCACAGACATGTTTTAATTCATGCCAAACCTCTCTCTTCCCCTTGAGATATCTGAAAGCTGTTTCACCTCTAAGTCCTTGCTTTCTTGGTTGTCTTAGCTGTGGCTGGAGAATTTCACCATCTTGCTAAAGTGTTTTGACAGTCCCATTCCCTGTCGTGGAACAGAGACAATAGCATTGGCCTTGGCTGCATTGGGTACAAGGCCAGTTTCCACGCTGCTGGTAACTTACGTAAAATATAAGCATAAGAGCTCTTTGTGATTCTCCCCAGACGCTAAGCAGTGTGGAAACTGGCCTTGTACCCAAAGCAGCCAAGACCAATGCTGTTGTCTCTATTCCATGACAGGGAATGGGACTGCCAGACACATTCTTCCTTTTGTGGTTGTTCTTTGAAATCCTTCAGGTACCCCTCAACCGACTGGTGTTTTAGTCTGAATTTCGGCAATTGTGCTTTGTTTAATTCTTTGATAGAGAAGGGGCGTGGGGAACCTTAATGTCCACAGAGACATGCTATTTTGCATTCAGAACAGGAGCCAAGAATGGAGGATGTACATTATTCATCTTCTGCATTGTCTTAGATGATATAACAGAAACCCATAAAATTAATCAGGGAGTGGAAAAGGGCTAGGTCTTCAGTTATGAGTCGTTCACAGCTTTAAGTTAAGGGAACATTATAGACCATCTGTTGCCTAGAACTGCCTCCTACACACTAAATCACATGAAATTCACCAAATAGCCTCAGAAACATTTCCAGTTTTCTATGTGTATTAGGATATCACTGTGGCAGATGCATTTCACAAGCTCCTAAATCATAATCATGGTCTGAGAGCAATGCCAAGGGTTCATTGTGCAATAAAATTTATGTACAAATGCCTGCATAGGACACCTTTGGCAAGCAGGTTATAATTAATCTCTTTGTCCCACTTGAGTATAATTTTACTTTAGGAACAGGTTTTTCCTTTAAATGTACTCTTCATAAAGTTCTCTGTTTTTAGAGATTAAGAGTATCCTCAGTAGTCATTGTTCTTGGCAGTTGACTGTGAACATTTTTTTCCTGCTAGTCAAAGGATCAGTAAAGATAATAAGTCAATACTACTTTATGACTTGCATAAGTAGTTATTTTGGAGTCAGTGGAACTGCTGTCATACAACCCCACTGGCAGGCCTTGCCTCATTTCACACGTAAGAACCTGCTGAGCTTTTTGAGAGGTAAATGCCAAATAGCACGTTGCTATGACCAGCACTTGTATCTGGTTTATGATAACGTAGGTGGTTAACTAATAATGTCATTCAGGATTTCAGTACATTGGGTAAAAAAAAAATCTTATCTGCACAGAGTCTCACATGCAGTCCAGTTTGCTGGATTCAGGCCTTCCCTTACCTATAATCCACAGTTTCAAGTCTTTGGATAGTCCTAGGCTGGTAAGATTTTTTTGCTCTTGGCAGGTGTGTATATAATTTGCCTTCTCATTTAACGTGAATATGGCTCACTATCAAAAAATAGCTGAAGATTTTAATCTCAGTGCAACACTCAACGTGCACATTTCAGGTGGTGCAAAATGCTTGTGCAATTCCAGTCCTCTTCCACTTGGCTCCCGTTCAAGGGCTGAAAATGAATGAAAGCAGGGCTACTTCTCCTCTCATATTAGGAAAGCTTTAAACTGTGTGTGCTGATTGTCAGTTATGTTCTTCCTAAGAACTGTGAGAGAAGAGAGAAGAACAGCAAGAAAGGTACCAGCAGGTTTTTGAGGAACAGACAGTCCAACAGGCAGAACTCATTTTTCTCCTAATATAGAGAACTTATCCAGAATTAAGGTAAAAAGCATACTATTGACCAAAACCTCATAAATATGAAGCCCTTCTGCCCACTGGCAAGTCTTAACATTCCCATAACTCTTTGAATATGAAGCATATTTGTTGAACTGTCAGGTCAGCCTTTATTCCCACGGTAGCTCCACCGTCAGCAATTTCAGCTGCAGAGGGCATGTCTTTGTCCTGTTGGAGGAATTGCAGTATTTTGGTGGCATGGAAGGCATTTTCTTTATCGATAAACTCCCAAGCCTCTCGAAAATAATGAATTCTGGGGGTGTGCTTGGCGTTGTCCAAAATACGGGCAGAAGGCTTTAGTGTTTCAGATCGAGCCAGCTGATGACCTTGGGTGCAGGAACACACCACATCTGTACGTTCATTTGGCAGCTCCCATCCCACCACCGTCTCCTTTGCTGCTGTTCAACCAATAGGTCTGCAGTAGGCAAGTAATTTGAGGATGATAAAGATGAATGGAAAGAAAGGCAAGGAAGACAAACAGCGACTGATCAGAGAGCGCTAGCAGCTGGACTGGTGTAACTATCCCCCTCCAGATTTTAAGAACTGAAGATCTGTACCTCAGGATATTAGTAAGGAACTGTAGGGAGAAAGAAACAAAGAAGGAGGTACAGAAATAAAATCAAACCCTGGACCCCTACATCAGCTGACCCATCAGAAGATCTGTGACTGCTAAATCATCGCAAAAGCCTAGTTGTGAAAACCAGCCAGGATTGAATGAGACTCCACTAGTAGTAATACACTAATTTGGGAAAGAAAAGCACTGTCACGAGACAACTATTATTACAGTAGCGGAGCTGTGTACAATAACTCATTGATTTATGCTGCTGTATTAGTTTCAGCATATCCACAGATTTTCATAGTTACACACCCACACCTACAAATGACCAAATGTCCATAACAATAAGTGTTGTGGTCAGTTCAAATTTTTGTCATGTATCTTGGAACTTTTTTAGGTCCTTCCAGGTTTAGTAGCCTGTAAATATGCAGGTCAGGGGCCATGAACAGGATCTGCTACTCAGATATTCTTTAACATCTCCTTTGGGCCATCCAACACAGTTTTCTTTATGTTTAGTGGAGGATAGTTCACTACTTAAAGACAAGTGAAGTCCCTTGTGTCCTACCACTCGTTGTACCTAGGCTTGTTTGTCAAGAAAGGTCAGCTGAAATGTGGGATCAGTGAAAAGCAGGATAGGAAGCCAGCTGAAGTATTCATCTAATTTTCACTATTTGGTATTATTTTATTCTCAAAACTCTCATTATTTGACAGGACAACTTGAGGTTTTTTAATATTCATATAGCTCTTAGAGCATTTGAAGAGCTATTCCCTTAAATCTTCCAAAAATAACATCTTCAAGGACAACCCAATACGGGTGATTTCAGGCCTGATAAGAAGCGTTTTGAAAATTTAGCAAATATATAAACAGAGAATGTATAATGAAAACCCTGTAACCGACATGCATATGATTGGTGCCTTCCATGAATGAGCTATTTAAAGCATATTTTTGTGCGCTTAGCCCCCACAGACCGGACCGCAGAATCCAGACTGTAGTTCCTGCTGCCGTGGTGACTTTGGAGTTCGACTTTACCAAGGGCCCCCAGGACCTCCCGGGCCCCCTGGGATGCCAGGTAAAAATGAAGTTTCATCAATTTTTTGATCAGTCTAATTACAGGCTATATATTACAGAGTGTTCTATGAAAGATTAGAGAATGGTCCAAACATCAGTATTTGGGGACAGATTCAGAAACAAGTTTTTCTGTAATTTCTGTGGAGACAGATTTTGAAGTTTGTCCCTGTGAAAACTCATTTGTTATTAAAATTCAGCTTTCATAAATTCATACTGAGAGTAATCTTAATACATTTCTAGAGCAAAATGGTCTCTCTCCTTAGAGCAGAATGAAGCTTCCATTAAAGTTGGAAGAACTTGTTCCTTGGAGCTGATTATTGTCACCACCTTCGAATAACCAGTGATGCTATTGTGTGTACTATATTCAGGAGCTTTTTTTCATCTAGCATACGTCTAGCCAATATTTTACAGAGACACACATGCTTCTTTTCTCTCATAGAAATTTCTTTTCCTTCTTTCTTCTTGTCTTCCATAGTAAAAACTATTTTTTTCCCCATTAAAAATGCACACAGAAGAACAGGATACACAAGTAGAGGGTATACTTCAGTCTGATAGCTGGTATGGAAAAAGAAGAGCCTAGAGAAGGGAAAAAGGTAGTTTCCTGACAGTGTAAATTTGTTACAGCAGCTACCTTCTGGGATTTAAAAATCACCGTTCCTAAAGCAGACATACAATGTAAGTGAACATGTCACTGACTGACAGATTTGTCTCATCCTCAAAAGCTTACACCTTTTGTTATCACAATAAAAATGCAATCTCATAATCCTTCTGTCTCACAAGTGTGCTGACAGTAACAGACATGACAGATAACCATACACAAAAAAAATAATGTAGTGATTTTTCGTAGCAACATTTTACAGTAACAGATAAATCTGACTGTTATGAAGTTAAATCTTAATGAATTGTTTCAAGAATTAGCTTCAGTAGGAAAAATATTGAAATAAATTGTTACTCAGACATGTTTTGGGTATTAGGCAAAATAAGGTCATGGGAATAGTTGGTATTGGCGTGCTGTACACTATTCGTGCATCAACCCTTTATAACAATACTATTGACCATTACATAACTCTAATGGTGAGGCTTCTTGTGCAGAAATACTGCATTATGTATTAATAAATGCTTGGCTTCTGAGAAGGACACAATTTTTTGTTAGACTCACACTTTCAAGGCTGCAGTGGACATACTGGGAGACAGCCCAGTCCCAGCTTTGCCCTTTCCTCACGTGAGGATGCATCTCAGTCACACTTTCTTGCCACCACATGATGCCAACAATGTGTGGCCAACAGCAACCTTTGGCACCATGGAATTTCTCTGTCTCCTTCCTCTGCTGCAATTCAGACCACAAGGCCTGTAAGGGGAATGACGACAGATGCTTTTCCCATGATTGAATCAAATGTCACTTGCAGACTTCTGTTCTGAACTGGCAGAGAAGCAATTATGGCTTTACATGAAGGGTCATTCATGTTATTGTAAAGAGTTATTGATTTCTCTATCCAAACAAAAATTTGCTTAATTTCTTCCACCATTTAGCATCCTTGTTTGAAGTAAACCTTTTTTCCAATACAAAAACTCTGAAGAACCACTTAATCATTAGTTTTGATCACGAACAACACCATTCTTCTTGTAAATTCATAACCAGAGTGACAAGCAGAGTGGCAAAAAATCTAATGTCAGTTCAGGTAGAATTAGAACAATGATGACACTAATTAATCCCCTAAGTAATTAATTGAAAGGTCAGGCTTTTGCTTCAGGTAGGCAGAATAATTGCCCAGTGATTCTAGGCAACTTCAAAATTTTTGTCAGTTGCATAGATGTTTGCTCAGTAGTTTGCTCAGAAAACATCAGGAAGTAAGTAATACTGCAGATGCAGGAATATGTTTCTATAATGACCCTTCTTCCAAGAAGCCATCTCAGAAAAGCTTCATTATAAACATTTGGTCTTTCTTTAAATCTTGGAACACGCAATCAGTTAACACCTTCAAGGTAACCTGAGAATGCACTGTCTCCCATTTTTGGCACAGATGGGTCACTCAGCTAGTTTAAGGCTACAGCCATTCTTATTTGTGTAGACGTTATCTTTGAAAGATAGCAAAATGTTATTCAAAATTATCTTACTCTATCTTAATTAAATTATGAGGCAGTAAGTTTTTACACAAAAGGAAAAGTAGCAGTGCTTATGCAGGCTGCCTGGTGTGTGTCAACAGTGGCTTTTGCTGTCCCTGAGCCTCTCGTCCACTGGGGTCTTGTCCTTGCACATCTCCCCAACAGCGCAATGGCTTGAGGCCTTGGCAGTTTATACAGCAACACCAAGCCCTCATATATCAATCTACATCCTGCTGGAAACTTACTCATCAAAAGCTTCACCTTCAACTTAACCACACATCACAGCTTCACCCATCTTATGTTCTTACCCATCACAGCTCAATCTGGGTTTTATGGCAAAACTCCATGTATTGCAATCTGGTGGAAAAGGACCCTCTCACACTTATCTCTTAAAATACATTATATGAAATTATTTAAACAGAAAGCTCTGTTTCCTTTAAGGAAATCATGGAAACAATGGAAATAATGGAGCAACTGGCCAAGAAGGAGCCAAAGGTGAGAAAGGAGACAAAGGAGATATGGGACCGAGGGGAGAGCGTGGCCATCATGGACCCAAAGGCGAGAAGGGTTACCCTGGGATCCCCCCAGAGCTACAGGTAAAAAATCCCTGGCTTGTGTTGGCTGCAGCAATTCTCAGGTTATGGTTTTCTTCTCTGCAAAACAGCACCTAACTACTGTAAAATACTTAAGAAGGAAATCTGCCAGTGAATTAATACAGTGAGAGACATATATGTCATGACTGACGAATGTGGTCTGCCAGATCTTCCTGGAAAAGAAAGACAATCAGGGATTAGACCTTCTCTAGAGTAAGAATCCAGCTGGGAAGTGGGCAGGAAGGAACATGTATGGTTCCTTTCTAAGGCAGAAAACCAGAATCTGGATCATTAAAGAACAGAGTGGACAATCATTTTTCTATCAAGCTGTATCACATAGATAACTGCGCTTCCTATGTCATGTGAAGGGAGTAAAGGAGTCACCCAGGCCCATGCTTCTCAGGTCAGTCAGCCTTTGTGAGATTCTCAGAAGCATATGTACCCAGCTCCTCTAAGTATGGGGTCGAAACTTCTGAGTGCACACAGAACTCCTCTGGTTTTGAAAAATAACCCTTAGTAGCTATCTGTGTTCTTGTATGTCTAGATACCTTGAATATGTTGAGAAGCCTGTAGGTTCTGTTATGAATGCACTACCCAAAAGCCAGCTGAGCATTAAAACATGGGTTCAACCCTGAGCTGTTAGGCTCTGCCTGAGGGAAGGGATATATTTGTTTGCGCTCAACACTGTGTTGGTATAGTCCCATAGCTTTTGCATTAGAGCTTCTTCATGCCCCAGGAATCTGGTGGACAGCAGAGTGGTGATGTCTGTGTGTATATAAGTGTGTGTGTGTGTATATATATCTATCTATATCTATATCTGCAGTACAGTAAAGACATGGTGTAGCCCTGTTCTTAAGGCAACTGAAAGTAAATGGGACTTGGGTAACTAAGACCGTTGGTTGCTGTTGCAAAGAGGATTTTTACTCACCCTATTTTATTATTAGAGGATTATGTCCCCACTGTATACTGTGGTGTAGCAATACACAAGTGGTTCATCTGCAACAGCAGGAGGACTTAACTGTCTCTAGGATGTACAACAGCTAAAGTGTTAAAGGGAAAATTTAGATGCACATGCCTTTGAGATGTATCCCTCCTGTTGTCCAGCTGCCACTGTGGAAGGGGCTTCTGTAGGCCAGATCAGTCAGGCCCTCGTGCGGGAATTCTAAAGCATTTCAGATGGCACCAGGTGCATGTGCATGAGCAAGTGATTGCAGTCAGGTTCAGCTCCAGAGAGCCTACAGGTGAGGGAATCATCTAAGCTCCTATTACTACTACTGAGGACCTAGAAGAGAAACTCTGCTTAACCTGACAGTCACTGCTGCTTTTGGGCAAAAGAGACTTTAGACACCACCGAGTATATAGATCTACAGAAACTGTAATGGAGTTTACATCTTCACTCACCTGTACCCACTTCAATGGAAGTGTCTTATTCTTGATCTGATTTGTATGCCCCAACCCAAGTTCACAACAGAAGGGACAACATGGGATATAGCAAACATACACAAAAAGAAATCCCACTTCCAAACACTCTTACTATGGGGAAAACTGAAGTTGTGGTCTATTTACAGAGCTACGTCTTTTAACTGAAGGATACTATTTCCCAATAACAATCATTCATACATGTTCTATATCCTCATAAAAGGCATGGAAACTAACAGCAAAATCAACAGCACAACCAATGTGTGCAGTGTGGGAAAATGGCTGTGGATTTCTTGGCATTGTCTATGTTTGAATTCCCCACTCCAGGTTGCATGAAGATGCAATAATTACACAGAATAGAATTCACAGGGAAAATAGTTTCCAAAATTACTGGACTTCTGTAATAAAGTAGAATTACCTTAGTATTCTTAAAGAATTAACTGTAATCAACATTGTAGCTGAATATCTTAAAAATATATTAGTTCATGTATATGTTTATGCAGATATACATGTTTACGTAATTTATGCAGTTACGTTCAACATAAACCCTTTTGCAATTTTAAAATGATCTATCAGCATAGGGATTTTTTTGGTACATAAAGATAGTGGTAGAAATGTAATTAAAAACTGGATAATGAAAGAGGGTGAATAACAAAAGCTCATATTGCAGTACCTGTTTCCAAGTAAAATTCCATCACTGTTTTTAAGATATGTTTAAAAATTCTTCACACAGTATAGCATATAATCTGTTGCTAACATCATACTTAAGAATTTTAGGGCAGGGGTAGGTAGAAAAGAAAACATCTTTAATACAATACTGGTTTAAGTGCAGGATTATTTTGAAAGATTTGGTGGGGCCATACTGATCTGTTACTTCAAAATGAGACCTAGGGAGAAAGAACACTTTCTTCAACTCTTCTGATCTGCCCAAGAAAAGTAGCTTGGAGTCAAATAGAATGTGGAATGGAATCTAGACAAAAAGCAATAAATTCCATCAAACTGCCACTACAGCTGCTTTCCTTTAACACATGATGAACTTTGATGTGATCCTGGCTGAGAAGCAAGAACTTAACAATTTGCCATCACAGAAAATGCATCCATGCAGGGATAAGGAAAATCAGCCCAAGCTTTCAGCTCACATCTGGAGCTCTTCAAATTTCTGAGCAGACAGCTAATGATTTCCATTGCTGGATGTGGACTTGCATTTGATTTTGTCTGTTTTGGTTTTATTCTCATTTGGATCTGAAATCAAAAGAAGTTTGGCGTGGTTTGTTTTTAAAAACTAGTATATCTGGAATCTCATGAAAAATGTTATTTTTGTGAGAGGCAGTAATGACTGTAATTGAACGCTTGTCATCTAAGAAGTTAAGGGACAGATCGTATGCCAAATCACTGCACCCAGGTGCAGCAATTCTGCCTGTATCCCATTTACTGCCAGTCAGACCCAGGATCACAGGCTCACAGAAGAGAGAACCCCCTTCCCTGCCCATGCAAGTTGGCAGGGTCATTCCCTGGTATCTTGCTGAGGAAAATTTGAATTGTCCAATGCAGAAGGTTTTTGCACTGCTTCCCATGAAACATCTCCCATGGCCAGTATGTCTCACTGCAAGAAGTGTAACATGAAGTTGAAGTACAGTTTTCACTTTCTTAGTTTCCTGGTTTGGTCTCCAACATCTGTTGTGGTGACTGAGGGTTCAGAGCAACTGGCAAGACAAAATGCACTGAAAGTTGAGTCCCAACAACTGCACATCTAGAGGACCTCTAATAAAAATGCTTAATGCTCTGAAGGTAGTTCACAAGAAACACTAATGTGTATGGATTTTACTGAGCATTACTTATATCACACATTCAGTTAAAAGCAATATCCAGTCTAAATACACTGGGGAATATAGAAAAGCTAATTAAATCACTTTTGTCAGAAACACCATCCGTCTCAATTCCAGTTTTCTGTTGCATGATTCTAGAGAGACTTAAAAGTAAATAAAATCCCAAACGAAGGTCCTGACCTGCAAACACTTGCCCATACACTTGCTTTTACAGGCATGAATAGTCCAATTGAATGTAAGAAGCCTAGTCCTCTTCCAATTTTATTCAATGGTAGTTTTGTTACTGGAGTTTAATAGCCTTGGAGCAGGCCCTAGAAGAACATCTCTGTCAGGAAAATAAACAGACTGCAAATACAGGAAAAAATTCTGTAGCTGATTCCCCTACACATGTGCATTTTGTGAATGATTGCCTGAATAACAACTGAAATTTTGCAGGTTGCCTTCATGGCTTCCATGGCTACTCACTTCAGCAACCAGAACAGCGGGATCATCTTCAGTAGTGTCGAAACCAACGTTGGGAATTTTTTTGATGTCATGACTGGGAGATTTGGTGCTCCAGTGAATGGTGAGTGTTTGTAAAACAAAATATGCAATTCTAGGAGTTGTCAATAATGAGAAACTAGTTAATTGACTTCGCAGAAGGCACTGATGGGACTCACTCTGCATAGCTCTTGCTATCTACATTCAGGAAAAACGAAATTAGAAATGGAGCGAGCCAAGAGAGGGTCTGCCAGCCAGTGAGACTAGTGCTGGCACAGGGGCAGGACGAAGCCCCATGGCCAGAGGTGGGGAGGGAGCAGGACTGCCTGCTTTTAAACCTTTAGCCCTTCAGCCACTGTGATGAGGTACCCATGGCTTTGATGTTGCAGCAGCAGCTTCACAGTTGCCTCCTCCACCTCCTGCCTCCGGTCACTCTCTTCATCCCCATATTCCCTCACGCCAGTTCAGCTGTGAGCTGGCCTGCAACAAACGTGTGGCTCGAAATGAGGCATTACATGTTTTCCTGAGTTATTTTTCAGCCTCATCAAGGCCCCATCTTACACAGCTGTGGCATAGGAAGAACAATAGGAGATGGGGAAGGCAGGGCCATAATCAAAAACATATCTAAGAAAAGCCTGAAAGCACCTTCCTTCACTGGGCCTTTCTCACTCTGCCATTCATTTTCCCCACTGCTGTGGGAAAGGATATTAAATTAATCAAAAGTCAGGCCCTCCAAGCTTGCTGCAGCACATCTTACTGACACCGCGGGGAGGTGTGTCCTCACAGCTGCTTCCCTTAGAGGTTAATGTAGATGTGGCTGTCAATAAACTTTGACCCACAATGATTCCATGAGTGATGCAACTCCAAGCTCCCATTGCTGGGTCAACGCTACAGACTTAGTGTTCAGGAACCAGGAGCCTGTCTGCCCACACAGAGCTCATGACAAGTAACATGGTTGAACTGACAACACTGTCATGACCTCTCAGACAGAGAAAGAGCTAAAGAGAAAAAGGGTGATAGTAAGGGTGTATTGTGCAAGAAGAGACAGTGGTGGCTATGTCTGGATTGCTCAGGATGTGGTAAAACAGGGTGAGCAGTGGTGGGTGATGCTAAAACCACTCATGCCCTGCCTGACCTGAGTGATGTGCTGGCTGTCTGACAGCCTCTGAGGCTGAGTCCTGACTGGCCTGGAGACTGCCCTTTTGGGAAAGCGCAGGAGCAAGACAGTGAGGAAAAAGGGATGAGAGAGGGGTCACTAGACTCAGACTCTGGGAAATTCCCCTTTCAGTGAGTGGTCCTGCTGTATTCACACACAGTCATTTATCTGGAACAGGATGTGGCTGAACCCCTGCCATATACAGAATTAAAATTAATCAGATTTTGGCACACTATAAGCAGGAGCAAAATACCCACTGGAAGGCAATTTTGACCTCAGCTGCTACGTTTTCTAAGCAAGAAGCACAAGTCTGTAGCATGGCTACCTCCCTCTATGAAGCAAACATCTTGTATTTGGTAATCTTTTCAGGGGTGTATTTCTTCACCTTCAATATGATGAAACATGAAGATGTGGAGGAAGTGTACGTGTACCTCATGCATAATGGTAATACAGTTTTCAGCTTATATAGGTAAGTGAAGGGCCAGGCCATTTCAATGCAAATGACTTATTTGCATAGATGTGATAGCTTGCTCTCATTTCAAGAAACAAGAAATTCTTCAGTTTTTGAAGACCACTTCAAAAATGGTAAAATAACCAGCAAAGAAAGGGTAAACTAACCAAAAAAGGATAACTATTGTGTTTTCTCTCCTCAACTTGCAAATTTGGATCATACCTACCACAGATCCTGGACCTAAAATTCATTTTTGATCACAAGTTCCTCAAAGGTCGGGGAAAGGGAATTAGCACTGCAAGTCAGGGTTGGAGTCCAGTGGTAACATGCTGTCATTCTGCTAAAACATATCTTCATCCTCATTTTGCCTGTCAGGCTCTAATGGTCCTGTTAAAGATTAAGGGAGAGTAATTTACTTTAAAGGTGGTGAGCATTTAAACTGCAGTAGTAAGGATGAGTAAGAAGCAAAGGTCCTCCATTACTGGCTTTGTTATCATTAGCACACTGGGAATAAAAAGTTTCAGAACTCTTCATATTAGCTGGAGGATCATCAAGAATAGGATGCACTTCTAGTTTAACTTCTATAAGGACCAGGTTAAGAAGCTTGTAGCTGGATGAATATATGAAAAAAAAAATGTAAAAGAAGTATTATTTCTTTAATACCAGCTAGGGGTCAGATACCAAAACCAAGCCAAGCTTCTCTCCTGAGCCTGAGTAAACAGACACAAAAGTTTAGATTGATCACACTGGACTTCAGGCACTTACATGATAGCATGTTCATTTAAGCTGTCAAGTTTTCTTCAACAGCCCATACCTGAACCACCACCAAAGGGTGCTTCATTCCTAATACATCTTTCCTGCAATAGAAAAAGTGCCCACTTTTTCCCCCCCCCGAAGCACTGATGTCAAAAAAGGCAACAGGTGGAAGAAAGGGAACCAACACTCATATAAAGCCAGAAGGTTATCCCACAATGAATGTACCTACATTCCAAGAAAAGGCCTCAGGATGGTGTGAGCAGCCTGTCCCTGTTCACTGCCTGTGCTGGGAACTCAGGGGCTCAGCTCACGTGAGACTCCTGACCTGGAGGCATTTAAAATTAGCTGGGATGAATCCAAGGGAAAAAGCATTACAGGAAATCTGGAGTGTTGTGATGAATGAGCAGAGTTTTATTTTAAACAAAAAATTTGTTCCTCTGCCCTGGAAAAAAATACATTAGTTAAAATTCCAGAATTTCAGAAAGGAATAAAATGATGCAATTGGGTAAGGTGCAAAATTTGACTAGGAGATCATACGCAGAAAGATGCCAAAATTTTCTCATAAATCTGAAAAATGTTGGCAAGCCTTTCAAGGAAGTTTTGCACAGGATAACAATGTGCTTTCTTGGATTCTTTATTTTTAAAGTTGTATGCTTGATCATTGTTGAGAAACAAAAAGCTGACTTGTTAAAAATTCAACCTTAGCTATGAATCAAAAGGGAAAGCGGACACGTCAGGAAACAGTGCAGTGCTAAAACTTGCCAAGGGAGACGAAGTTTGGCTGCGAATGGGAAATGGAGCCCTCCACGGGGACCATCAACGCTTCTCTACCTTTGCTGGTTTTCTTCTTTTTGAAACCAAGTAGAAAAAGAAACAACCCAATACATGTTTATCTGAGAAAACTTCTTTTTTTGGAACTGGTATTTTTCTCTGGACTGTGGAATAGCATTGCAACAATGAAATATCAAGAAGGCTTGTTTTGATGCAATGAGTAGCTATTTGTGTAACAGACATGAGTTAAATACATGGAGTAGTTGACACACAGATTCACAGAAGATGTATTGTCACATGGGTTGTATCCAGTGAATCATTAAATGTTGCAATTGCTCTCTTCTCCAAAGTGTCTGAAAAACAAAGGAAAAGGAGTTCAAAGAGTTTAGAGAACAGTTTGGGCAGTAAAGTCAATTTTGTCTGTAATACTTAAGTGTATGACAGGAATTGAACAATTGATTGATGTTCTTCAGTTCTTATTACATGTTTGTTTAAGTCTGTATCGTGGAAACAGGCCTGAACGATTTATAAGCAGGCTCAGCTGAGACCAGATTTAAAGGAAGAAGTTTCTACTGGACTACAATGAACTTTTCAAATAGAAGAAAAAAATGTGAAAATAAAGATATCAAGGATTCAGGTTTATTGCATTACTATCGCAAACCTCTGAAGATGTATCTGGTGTCATTTTTCACAGATATTTTCAGAGATATTTATGCTGTCTTTTAAAAAAAGAGTGGTAGTAACTCTTGCCTTAGTAGCAGCTTGAAGCTAAGGTAATTTAGCCTACAGTGTGCAGGGGATCAGACAGGGGAACGGTAATGTTTCTTCCTGGCCTTCTAATTGTTAAAACCTGATGTAACGAAATGCAATGTGTCAAAGCAGAGCCATATACGCTGTGGAAGCTGAGATACGCTAACAGCAAAACCAGAGAAACACATTCTTTGTGGAGTTTGGACTGCTTTTAAAAGGATGTACCTTTTAATATTGCATATTTACTTAACGGTGAAGTTGTTGACACAGTTTTCCCACCAGCCTTCCAAGAACCAGTATTTCAGGAAAAGACACTGCAGCCTGGCAAAGCAGCAGCTAACCCAGTTCAATATTTAACTGGTGAAAGCAAACACTGGCTAGCTCAGAAGTTCTGCTCACAGTAAACTGGGCCATTCTTCAGCATTAATATTTGCCACTGGCTTTACAAAATTCGGGTACCTGAAATCTTGTCTTGGTTTTTTCTTTTCATTGGAATCAGCACCAAATATATTAAAACGACACTGAAGTGTGAATGCATCTTCTGCATATTCCGACTCTTCATAGAACAAGTCACAGAATCACAGAAGGGTTTGGTTTGGAAGGGACCTTAAAGCCCGTCTAGTTCCACCCCCCCTGCCATGGGCAGGGACACCTTCCACTAGGTCAGGTTGCTCAAAGCCCCATCCACCCCGCCCTTGAACACTTCCAGGGATGGGGCATCCACAGCTTCTCTGGGCAACCTGTGCCAGTGCCTCACCACCCTCTCTGGGAAGAATTTCTTCCTTACATCCAATCTAAATCTCCTCGCTTTCAATTAAAACTCATTACCCTTTGTCCTGTTACTAGAGGCCCTTTTAAAAAGTCCCCCTCC